ACTGGGACGGTGATCACAGACAGACAGGTATGTACGAAGTCATCACAGTCAGCACTGAAAACAAGTGCGGAATTGGAAACTTTATATTCTATTTTCTAACAACAGAAGCTGACTTCAACAAGCCAATGAGAACAAAGAAAAATGGTCTCAGTGGTTGAATTCAAGTAGGCTTCACGCCTCTCATCTTTAATCAATGAGCATTTATTTTAGCTCTTGGGGCTCTTCTTTACTCTCCTAATTCAATACTGAGAGGTAATGCGTAATGGTCAGGTCACAAATAAAAAAAAAACAGGCAGAGGAAGCATCCCCTCCATCTCGTGATTTAGTATTAACAGAAAAATACAAGACTTGGGACGGTCAGTCGGAGAAATCCTCCTCATCTCAACCACACCTTCCACAGCTACCTCGCCGCTGCTCCTGAGAGTCCCCTCGCTGATCGCTTTACTCCTGGTTGTAATGAGTGTAATTCTGCAGTGAGATATTACTCATGCAACAGGTTGGAGGAGAATATGAATGACAGCTGAGAACAATTTTAAAAAGTGTCCCTACAGTTGCTGCTGTGATGCACATGCAAGCGTCTGTTCAAAGAAGGAGATTCCAACTCTCGCGGAGCTAAAACAGCGATCCATCCCACAGGTCTGACAGACACACAATACATTTACACTGCTCTCACTTCTTATCTCACCGCTCCCTTAAGCTATCCCTGAGCTAAAGCAGCAGAAAAAATATACTCCACTTTCATGAATAAAGTTAATAATTGCCATACAAATCTAGGGGAAGGGCTCAAATTTAAATTCAGTAGCTTGAACAAACTCAAAATAAAAGGTTTCAGCCAATACCTGACAAGTAGATCATTTTTTCTGAAAGTGTTCAGGGAGAACTTTCTCACTTCGCTTTTTTTTCCCCCACACTTCATGAGCATTATATAAGACAATAAGGGCTCAGTCAAAGATAATTTCTTCTGCAACAGGACGTCTGCTTCACTCTTATAGAGACAGACAAACCGTAAGTCAGAGAGACACCGACATGCTCTTTGAGGCATAGAATCCTGGTGAAGAGACAACTCGTGGATGTGCTCCCCTCACTCCGCGAAACGGATTGCTTTGCGCGATCCCCTCCTCGCAGGCAGGTGAAGGGGAGGAGTGAGGAGTTAGGGAGGGGGATGCAGCGGATGTGGCTTTAGAGGGGAGCAGTGCAGTGCCTCCTGCCATCACTCCGGACAAAACCAGAGTCTGAATTGGAGAGCTTCCCCTACACCCAGGATCAATTGGGGAGTATTAATGGATTCAGAGTGGATCAACTGATGGCTATCATATTTCGCTGTTTTGACCCAGTGTGGACTGACAACCCAGCTCACACATGTGCATGTACCCCACTGTGGTGCATTGCAGATGTTTACACCCGTCTTGGTTTGTCTCCTTTTGCGAGAAAAAAGGGTCTGGCAATCAATTTATCTTCCTCAAACAACATTAAGCAGTGATCTTGGATTCATGAAGAACACAAATAATTCAACCTGCATTTATTGGATGCTGCCGAATGGAGAGTAACACGAATGGATTGGACACGAATGGATTTAGCACTCAATCTGAAATTCATCACCTGTATATTTGAACACATTTTCAGTCCCGTTAAAGTCAAAGATGTAAAGGAGATAATCAGAAGGAGAAAGCTGTGGTTTTGTTACTATCACGGGCAAACCAAGCAAGTAAACAAACTTGTATACTTCTCAGGAAGACAGCTTTAAATGTGCTAACCCCACAACAACAAGGCTGTCTTCACATGCTTGACATTACTCATTGATCAGGCTCACAGAGAGGGATCACGTTGGTCGCTTTGTCCACACCTTCAGCACCTTGTCTATCTGATAGTCAAACAACACTGCATATTGTTTATGTAGCACCAGTATCAATAAACACCAAGTCACACTCTGTTTCCTGGTGTTGCAGAGACTCAGCCACATGCTTTGTTTAACAAGGAAACTGAACACGGGTGAGAATAATTCTAATGTAAAAATAAGCCACCATTCAAAAAAAAACTTGAGTAAAAAGATTTTTAGGTTTGAGCAAACAAATTTAATTATCTCATCAAACTAAGAGTGATTCTTCCAATCAAACATAGACGATATGAATTAAAGAAGTATCTACATCTATTATCTACATAATCTGAATTCTACATGAAGCTACTTGTTTTCTCTAATGTCTCAAGAGTTCTTTTGTATTGGTTATTTCACCATCAAATTATTTAACAGTTCTTATTTCAGACAGAAATTAAATAACATGTATACAAAAAATGAACTCACTAATAATAAACGAAAAAGAATTGATTCATTTTGAATAACAGTTGTCTCAGCAATGAAATACAATTAATTTAACATTAAGTAGCCTACATTATTATAACAAATCAAAATCAATAACGATCGAAACAATAATTTTAGTAAAAATAACCCTGATCATTTAAAGATATCTATTTGAAATACTACTGAAGAAGTACAACCAATTATTCTGTTTCCATGACCAGAAGTTTTAACTAATAAAATCAAAAAGATAGTTTACTTCTGCTTAAATTATCAAAATAATATGAAAGCTGACACTTTTAAACCAATTTGGAATATGAAAATATAAATTGTATCCAAGTGAAATAACATAATAAATATATATAGGACATCAAAACTTCAACAATTCAAAGTTGCATTTAAAAAAGGCCCAATCTTTTAATAAACACATTCAAAAACTAAACGCTATTACAAAGAAAGTATAAGAAACAATCACAAGTTTTACCTTTAAAAATATACATAATTTAATGGTTAATCCCGTTATGCCTAATAGCAAACATTACACAACACAGATATAAATAAACTGTAATCACAGCAAACAGCAGCTGCAACTACAACAGTCTCACAAAACCATAACCAGCAGGCCTGAAGATGAACTCACAGGCTGCTTCCTAAATGACAAAACAAAAGCTGGTGATTGGTTCCCTCCTCAAGCCCTGTATATAGTAACCATTCATCATTTTAAAATCAAATCATAACAATACTTGTAATTATTATATTATCTAAAACAAAGAAATACAGCTACAAAGTATTCTAAACCTGTATTATTAAATATAAAAGTTATTTCTGAAAATACCTGAGACAATGGATTCAAATGATATCTCTGAGATTGAAAATGTGCATCAGTTAGCTCTATAAATTACGAATAATAAGTAAATATTGTATTTACTGCAGGAGCAAAAAAAAAAAAAAAAGTGCTTATTAATCTTTACATTTTAAATCAATGTAACTATTTCTGCAACAATAGACAAAGGCTCCAATAATGTCTAACAATGACTAGAAAACTGTAGGGAGGCTTTTAACATTAAATGAAATTATCACCATGGAAAGCATAATCACAACATGGAGTTTCACTGCCACGTGATTTCGCCCACTTTCCACGGATTCAAAATGAACACCTGTACGTGTTTTACGCTGCACTCATATCGACCTCAACGATATGGCGAAGAAAAAAAGAGGGCCTGTTCAGATCATGCACACGCTGTCCACGCGGTGTCGACTGGACACATGCAGGTACATGTATGGACATTTGCTCTATCTGATTCCGCCTATAGCTGCGCAGCGTGCAGGGGCCATCGTGGCAGCCATTATGAGGCTCTCCAACATTGCCATGGCCTACGTGCACACTCACTGTGGGGAGTGGCGCGAAGCTTCTATACAGTGTTGCGCCTCGCAGCTTACAAAACGAGAATACAGCACCTCAGCTCGATCAGTTCACGTTTCAAACATGCAGATTTGTCTTTAGCACAGCAAAAACAAGGCGAAAGCTGCAAAGCAGGAAAGGAAGAAGGGGGAGGAACGGTGCTGCTAGCTCATAAAGTATGGGTCACGTGTTCCTCCACGAGGGGCTTGAATATTTACCTTACTGTCACGCAATGTATTCTTTCCTTAAAGCCAAAGGCATTGTTTTGAAAAAGGGTGGAGCTATACGTGTTGAGTGTGTAGAGCTGCATAATCCACCACAAACGTTAGGCGTTTACTACGTGTTACGCATTACGCCCAGGGAGGAGGGGGGGGGGGGGTAATTATTATTTCCATGCGATTAAAAGCTCGTGGATTTCTTTTGTTTGTACACTGCGTGGGCAAGCTGATACAACAGCACACAATATTACAGTGGTGGCGTGGAGTTCAGTGTTGACCTACAGATTTGCTCACAAACCTTCAACTCGCCCTTTCCTTGCACGCGCGTACACACACACACACACACACACAAGCTGTGTTTCTCGCATACATACACACGCGTGCATATAGTAACCATAGAGGAGCCTCGGCTGAGCTGATTGGTATGCAACTCATCATGCATTGCAGTGTTGCAGTCAATAATGAAACCTAACTTTATCGCTTACATACAGGGAAACCAAAACCAAATTATGCAGCTGCCATGACAGTCTGATTACAGTACATATGAGAGATTCAATTAGCATGTGATTATTACATGTATGCACTGTGTGTGTGTGTGTGTGTGTGTGTGTGTGTGTGTGTGTGTGTGCGTGCGTGCGTGCGTGTTACAGTGGGATAGGCCTTTGCAGATCACGCGACATGGCAGCAGCCACCATGTGTTCTGCGGATGTTGGGACTAAATTGTTTATTTGTCACCGTCTTTCTTTTGTTCAATCACCGTGTAAATTACATTTACATCACCAGGGAATAAAACAGTAGCCTAGTTTAAAAAAAAACACACACACACACACATAGAATCCGAGAAGAGAGGGGAAATCTGCGCGCTATATTTCACAGCGGAAGCCTACAGGTCACACGGTCTGCCATGGGGCACAGTATAGGCATATGACACAATGTGTGAATGCGTGTGTGTGTGTGTGTGTGTGTGTGTGTGTGTGTGTGTGTGTGTGAGAGAGAGAGAGAGAGAGAGAGAGAGAG